TGGGTTCAAGGATTCTCCTGCCTCAGCCTCCTGAGTAGCTGGGATTACAGGTATACACCACCATGCCTGGCTAATTGTGTATTTTTAGTAGAGATGGTGTTTCTCCATGTTGGCCAGGTGGTTTCGAACTCCCAACCTCAGGGAATCTGTCCTCCTTGGCCTCCCAAAGTACTGGGTTGCAGGCATAAGATGCTGTGCCCAGCCTACATGTTAGTCTTTAATCCACCTTGAGTTGATTTTTTTATGTGGTATTAAGGAATGGGGTCCAATTTCCAATTTCAATTTTCTGCATATGACTAGCCAGTTCTCCCAGCCCCATTTATTAAATAGGGAATCCTTTCCCTATTATTTGTTTTTGTCAGGCTTGTCGAGGATCAGATGGTTGTAGGTGTGTGGTGTTATTTCTGGGTTGTCTATTCTGTTCCATTGGTCTATGGATCTGTTCTTGTACCAGTACCATGCTTTTTTGGCTACTGTAGCCTTGTAGTATAGTTTGAAGTCAGGTAGCATGATGCCTCCAGCTTTGTTCTTTTTGCTTAGGATTGTCTTAGCTATTCAAGCTCTTTTTTGGTTCCATATTATTTAAAAATAGTTCTTTTTAAATTCTGGGAGAATGTCAATGATAATTTATTGGGAATAGCATTGAATATATAAATTGCTTTGGGTGATATGGCCATTTTCACAATATTGATTCTTACGATCCATGAGCATAGAATGTTTTTCCATTTGTTTGTGTCATCTCTGGTTTCTTTGAGCAGTGGTTTGTAGTTCTCCTTGAAGAGGTCCTTCACATCCCTTGTTAGCTGTATTCGTAGGTATTTTATTCTTTTTGTGGCAAGTGTGAATGGGAGTTCATTCATGATTTGACTCTTAGTTTGCCTGTTGTTGGTGTATAAGAATGCTAGTAATTTTTGCACATTGATTTTGTATACTGAGACTTTGCTGAATTTGCTTATCAGTTTAAGAAGCTTTTGAGAGATATGAAGGTCAGAGTGGAAGCGGATGTGACAGCAGAAGAAAACATGGCTGTCAAAGTATTTGAGTCCATCAGCAAGTTTGGCATGGCCGTAGCTGTTGCAGAAGGCGTGGTGAACTTTGCCTTATATAATGTGGATGCTGGGCACAGAGCTGTCATGTTTAACGAGTTTTATGGAGTACAGGACATTGTGGTAGAGGAAGGGACTCACTTTCTCATCCCATGGGTACAGAAACCAATTATCTTTGACTGCCGTTCTTGACCACATAGTGTGCCAGTCATTACTGGTAGCAAAGATCTACAGAACATCAATATCACACTGCAGATCCTTTTCTGGCCTATTGCTAGCCAGCTTCCTGACATCTTCACCAGCGTTGGAAAGAACTATGATGAGCATATGCTGCCCTCTGTCACGACTGAGATCCTCAAGTCAGTGGTGGCTCGCTTTGATGCTGGAGAACTAACCACCCAGAGAGAGCTGGTCTCCAGGCAGGTGAGCGATCACTTTACCGAGTGAGAAGCCACCTTTGGGCTCATCCTGAACAATGTATCCTTGACATATCTGACCTTCAGGAAGGAGTTCATAGAAGAGGTGGAAGTCAAACAGGTGGCTCAGCAGGAAGCAGAGAGGGCCAGATCTGTGGTGAAAAAGCTGAGCAGCAGAAAATGGCAGCCATCATCTCTGTTCAGGGTGACTCCAAGACAGCCGAGCTAATTGCCAACTCACTGGCCACCACAGGGAACAGCCTGATTGAGCTGCACAAGCTGGAAGCTGCGGAGGACATCGCATTCCAGTTCTCATGCTCTTGGAACATCACCTACCTGCCGATAGGGCAGTCCGCGCTCCTTCAGCTGCCCCAGTGAGGGCCCACTCTGCCTTCTGTTCAGCTCTGCAGGCCAACTGGCCCACAGCCCTGATGATTCTTAATACCACCTTCCTTCTCTCCCCACCCTAGAAATCACCATGAAATTTCATGATTGGCTTAAAGTGAAGGAAATAAAGGTAAAATCATTTCAGATCTTAAAAAAAAAAGCTTTTGAGATGTTGGGGTTTTCTAGATACAGGATTATGTCATCTGCAAACAAAGATAGTTTGACTTCCTCTCTTCCTATTTGAATACCCTTTATTTCTCTCTCTTGCCTGATTGCCCTGGCCAGAACTTCCAGCTATGTTGAATATGAGTGGTAAGAGAGGGTATTTTTGTCTTGTGCCAGTTTTCAAGGGGAATGCTTCCAGTTTTTGCCCATTCAGTATGATACTGACTGCGAGTTTGTCATATATGGCTCTGGTTATTTTGAGGTATGTTCCTTCAATATCTTATTTATTTAAAGTTTTTGACATGAAGGGATGTTGAATTTTATCAAAGGCCTTTTGTGCATCTACTGAGATAACCATGTGGTATTGGTCTTTAGTTCTGTTTATGTGATGCATCACATTTATTGATTTGTGTATGTTGAACCAACCTTGCATCCCAGAGATGAAACCTACTTGATAATGGTGGCTATGCTTTTTGATGTGCTGTTGGATTCAGTTTGCCAGTACTTTGTTGAGGATTTTTGCACTGATGTTCATCAAGGATATTGACCTGAAGTTTTCTTTTTTTGTTGTATCTCTGCCAGGTTTTGGTATCAGGCTGATGCTGGCCTCATAAAATGAGTTAGGGAGGAGTCCCTCCTTATCAATTTTTTGAATAGTTTCAGTAGAAACAGTACCAGCTATTCTTGTAACTCTGGGAGAATTCAGCTGTAAATCCATCTGCTCTTGGCCATTTTGGTTGGTAGGCTATTTATTACTCCCTCAATTTCAGAACTCATTATTGGTCTATTCAGGGATTCAATTTCTTTCTGGTTCAGTTTTGGGAGAATGTATGTGTCCAGAAATTTATCCATTTCTTTATGTGCATAATACTAGTTTATAGTATTATCTGCTAGTTGCTTGTATTTCTGTGTGTGAGTGATGATATCTCCCTTATCATTTCTGATTGTGTTTATTTGAATCTTCTTTCTTTTCTTCTTTATTAGTCTGACCAGCTCCTGGATTCATTGATGTTTTGAAGGGTTTTTTATGTCTCTATCTCCTTTGGTTCAGCTCTGATCTTAATTATTTATTATTTTAATTATAAATTATATATTTATAAATAAATATATTTAATATAATTATAAATTATATATTATAAATTATAATCATAAATTATTATCTGATCTTATTTATATCTTAATTATTATACTTTATTATACTTAATTATTATACTTAATTATTATACTTCTGCTAGCTTTCGGGTTTGTTTGTTCTTGGTTCTCTAGTTCTTTTAGTTGAGATGTTAGGTTGTTAGCTTGAGATCTTTCTAGCTTTTTGAGGTGGACATTTAGTGCTATAAATTTCCCTCTTAACACAGCTTTAGCTGTGTCCTAGAGATTCTGGTACCTTGTTCCTTTGTTCTGATTAGTTTCAAAGAACTTCTTGATTTCTGCCTTAATTTCATTAATTATCCAAGAGTAATTCAGGAGCACGTTGTTCAGTTTCCATTTAGTTGTGTGGTTTTGAGTGAATTTTTAAACCTTGAGTTCTAATTTGATTGTGCTGTGGTCTGAGGGATTGTTGTGATTTCAGCTCTTCTGCATTTGCTGAGGTGTATTTTACTTCTGATTATGTGATCAATTTTAGAATAAGTGCCATGTGGCAATGAGAAGAATGTATATTCTGGTTTTTTGTTTGTTTGTTTGTTTTGTTTTTTGAGATAGAGTTTCACTCTTGTTACCTAGGCTGGAGTGCAATGGCATAATCTCGGCTAACTGTAACCTCCGCCTCCTGGGTTCAAGCAATTCCCCCCCTCAGCCTCCCGAGTAGCGGGGACTACAGGTGTGCACCACCATGCCCAGCTAATTTTTGAATTTTTAGTAGAGATGGGGTTTCACCATGTTGACCAGGATGGACTCAATCTCTTGACCTCGTGATCCACCCAACTTGGCCTCCCAAAGTGCTGGGATTATAGGCGTGAGCCACCACACCTGGCCTATTCTGTTGTTTTTGGGAGGAGAGTTCTGTACATATCTACAAGGCCTCTTGATTTAGAGCTGAGTTCAGGTCCTGAATGTCTTCATTAATTTTCTGTCCCAGTGGTATGTCTATTATTGTCAGTGGGGTGTTAATGTCTCTCACTATTATCGTGTAGGAGTCTAAGTCTTTTTGAAGATCTCTAAGAACTTGCTTTATGAATCTGAATGCTCTTGTATTGGGTGCATATATATTTAGGTTAGTTATCTCTTCTTGTTGAATTAAACTCCTTACCATTATGTAATGCCCTTCTTTGTCTTTTTTGATCTTTGTTGGTTTAAAGTCTATTTTGCCAGAAACTACAATTGTGCACCCTTCTTTTTTCTGTTTTCCATTTTGCTTGGCAAATTTTCCTCAATCCCTTTATTTTGAGTCTATGTGTATCTTTGCATGTGAGTGACTGTCTTGAAGACAGTATACCAATGGGTCTTGGTTCTTTATCCAGCTTGCCACTCTGTGTCTTTTAATTGGGACGTTTAGAACATTTACATTTAAGATTAGTATTATGTGTGGATTTGATCCTGTCATGATGCTAGCTGGTTATTTTGCGGACTTGTTTATGTGGTCGCTTCATAGTGTCACTGGTCTATGTACTTCTATGTGTCTTTGTAGTGGCTGTAACAGTTTTACCTTTCCATATTTAGTGCTTCCTTCAGGAGTTCTCTTGTAAGGCACATCTGGTGGTAACAAATTCCCTCAGCATTTGCTTGTCTGAAAAGGATCTCATTTCTTTTATATAAAGATATAAAATTATGTGTTCAAAATTCCTTTCCTTAAGAATATTGATATTGGTCTGCAATCTCTTACAGCTTGTAAGGTTTCCCCTGAGAAGTCCACTGTTACTCTGATGGGCTTCCCTTTGTGGGTGACCTGGCCTTTCTCTCTGGTTACCCTTAATGTTTTTTTCTTTCATTTCAACCTTGGAGAATCTGATAATTAATGTGTCTTAGGGATGGTCTTCTCATGGAGTATCTTACTTGGGTTCTCTGCATTTCCTAAATTTGAATGTTGGCTTGTCTTGCTAAGTGGGGGAAATTTTCCTGAATGATATCCTGAACTGTTTTCCAACTTGGTTTCATTCACCTCATCTCTTTCAGGCACCCCAATCAGTTGTAGATTTGGCTTCTTTGCATAATCCCATCTTTCTCGGAAACATTGTTCATTCTTTTTTATTCTTTTTTCTCTATTCTTGTCTGCCTGTCTTATTTCAGAAAGATAGCCTTCAAGCTCTGAGAGTCCTTCCTCCAGTTGGTCTATTTGGCTATTAATGCTTGTGATTGCATTGTGAAGTTCTTGTAGAGTGGTTTTCTTTCTTTCTTTTTTTTCTTTTGTTTCATTCAAGAATTTTCTTCCTAGACCATGTAGCGTGTTTTTCAGCTCTAACAGGTTTGTTATCTTCTTCTCTGAACTAGCTATTTTGGCTGTCAGCTCCTGTATTGTTTTAGCATGATTCTTAGCTTCTTTGCATTGGATTATAACATGCTGCTCTAGCTCAGCAAGTTAATTATTGCCCACATTCTGAAGCCTACTTCTGTCATTTCAGCCATCTCAGCCTCAGTCCACTTCTGAGCTTTTTCTGGGGAAGTGCTGTGGTCATTTGGAGAAACAAGAGCACTCTGGCTTTTTGAGATTTTAGTGTTTTTGCACTGATTTTTTTCTCATCTTTGTGGGCTTATCCACCTTCAATCTTCAAGGTTGCTGATCTTTGGGTGGGATTTTTGTGCTGTTTTCTTGTTGTTGTTGTTTTCTGTTTGTTTGTTTTTCTTTTAACAGTCTGACCACTCTTCCATAGGACTGCTGTGGTTTTCTAGGGGTCCACTCCAGACCCTAGTCACCTGTTTTTCCTGTACCTGGAGGTATCACCAGTGAAGGCTGTGAAACAGCAAAAATGGCAGGCTTTCCCTTCCTCTCGAAGCTCCATCCTAGGGGGTACTGACCTATTGCTAGGCTGAATGCACCTGTAGGGAGTGGCTGGAGACCCTGGTTTGGAGGTCTTACCAAGTCAGGAGGAATGGGATCAGGGACCCACTTAAAGAAGCAGTTTGGCTGCTTTTTGGTAGAGCAGCTGTGCTGTGTGAGAGAACCTTTCCACCCCTGATCAGTTTGGGCTCTCCAAGGCCCACAGGCTGTACTGGGTGAGAAGCCTGAATGACCACGGTGGTGACATGTATGTTCTGGCATGCTTCTAATGATATTAGAATTGCCTCGATCAATGAGGGACAGCGTGCATACTCTGCAGTATTTTCCACATGCTATGCCCAATTCAAAAGTATTGTCACTCCAGTGATGGACTCCAGTTTTGGTCAACATGGCATGGTACTTACTGTATTTTGGATTTCCTTAAAACTGGGCAGTTTTCAGTGAGGATGGCTAATTTTGCTTTGCCTTGCCTGATCATTTTTAGAGTCTCCTTGTACCCCAGAATGTACTTTCCACTTTTTATAACAAGTTAGAGCCTAGATTTGATCCACTCTACTGTTCTTTTCTTTCTTTTTCTTTTTCTTTCTTTTTTTTTTTTGAAGCAGTTTTGCTCTTGTTGCCCAGGGTGGAATGCAATGGCACGATCTTGGCTCTCTGCAACCTCTGCCTCCCGGTTGCAAGCGATTCTCCTGCCTCAGCCTCATGAATAGCTGGGATTACAGGCACCCACTACCACACCCAGCTAATTTTTGTATTTTTAGTAGAGATGGGGTTTCTCCTTGTTGGCCAGGCTGGCCTCGAACTCCTGACTTTGTGATCTGCCCACCTTGGCCTCCCAAAGTGCTGGGATTACATGTGTAAGCCACCGCGCCTGGCCTCCACTGACTTTTTTTTATCTTCTTTGCAGCCACCATCGTCCTGCATTAGGTGTGGGATGGCCCCCAAACAAAAGCAGCTGCCAAGATAACTGGGAAGCAAGAAGGGAAGAACTAGAATTTTTCTAAAGCAAAACTTTGATGGGCTGTGCACTTGTTTTATTCCCAGGAACCTTGTAATTGTTAATTATTGCCACAAATCTCTTGGGTTAAAGCACTTGATTAACATTTCCTCTTTGCAGCTTAATGTAGTAATTGCATCTCTCCTGTCTCTAATGATTAAATGCTGCCACCTGGCCTTCTACACAGGATTCTATTGTTCCATTGAAATCAGGGATTCCTAATTTCAAGGCAACATTTCCTACCATCATCATTGACCTACAGAATACAGACAACACAGAGCTTTAAAAGGATATGGAGGCTGCCGACCCAGGTATTTATTAAGTTATTAATTTTTCATACTTATTAATTTATTAATGACTTGGTGAAGGGAGTACCCTCTAGGCATCCAAGAGGTATAGTTGGTATGTGGCTCATCATATCTGCTCTAACATACTCATTTCCCTACGCCTGAGGTTTAATTCCTAGAGCATACCAAAGAAGTATTGGCAACTCAATTTCATTCACTGTAGGCCACTATTGAAGTCAGTCCTGCTAACCACCCAAGCAAATTGTTAGTTACACCAGGGAGTTAAACATTAAATCTCCGTATTTATATTAATAAATTTAGCCAGATCAACCTTATATTTTTTTCTCTGTGGACTAATACCTTTAGAATATACTGTCAATGTGCTCCTCAAATTTCTGACAATACAAGTTATCCTTCAACTGCTGCATTTTCTTGTATATTGTATTTTCTCTCACTCAGTAGACCTTGCAATTTTCCCACTGAGCTATACTGGGAATTAATTATTATTGTAAGTTTGAAGTTGATGCAGGTCTTAAGGAGAGAGTTTTTTTTTTGTTTTTTTTTTTTTTAATTTGGATACTGTCAGAATATAGATTATATTTAAGCCACAAGATTGGATATGACCAACAAGTCAGTGAGCATAGACGGGAAAGAAAAGAGTTGCAAGGGCCAAACCCAATATTTAGGGATCAGGCTGAGGGAAATGAATCAGCAAAGGAAGAACGGCCAATGAGGTAAGAGGAAAACACATTCTGAAGCAAGTGAAGAATGTGTTTAAAGGAGAAAAGAAAGATCGATGGTCTGAGAATTAACCATTTGATTTGGCCACATAAAGAGTATTTGTGACCTTGACAGGCAATTTGAGTTGTGATGAAGGCAAAACCTGAACTGGAGTAGGTTTAAGATGAGACATGAAAAGAACCTGTAGACAGAAAATACAGGCAACACTTAGGAAGAATTTTGTCGTAACAAAAGTAGAGAAATGGAATGTAAGCTGGAGGAGAATATCAGGTCAAAGGAGGACATCTCTCTCTTTTTAGAATGGGGGATTCTTCAGGATGTTTCTGTGATCTAGTGCTGCAATGGAGGAGTGGCTTTAGGAGAAAAGACAGTTCATTTTTAGAAACAGGAGGAAAGGCGGTACCTGGGCACAGATGTGGGGTGGGTAGATATGATGATGGTAGGAACTTGTGGAAATTCTCTCCTGGTGCTTTTTATTTATTTTTCACTAATTAAATTTACTGAGATATAATTTGCATACAGTAAAATGCACAGATTTCTTGTATATAATCTGACGGTTACAGGTAAACGTACCCTTCCATGTAAAAAACACCCCAGTCAAGACAAACCCAGAACATTTCTGTCAACACAGCAAGTTCCCCCAGCCCTTTTTCCAGTGAATCCCCTCATCCTTCTCCTTGCCACCAATACCCCCTCCTACTGCCCAGCAACCCCAGGCAACAACTATTCTGATTTTTATCACTATGGATTAGTTTTACTAGTCTTTTGTCTTTTTTTTTTTTTTTTCTCTTCTCACTCTTGTTGCCCAGGCTGGAGTGCAATGGCACAATCTCAGCTCACCGCAACCTCTGCTTCCTGGGTTCAAGCAGTTCGCCTGCCTCAGCCTCCCAAGTAGCTGGGATTACAGGCATGTGCCACCACACCCAGCTAATTTAAGTATTTTTAATGGAGACGGGGTTTCTCCATGTTGGTCAGGCTGGTCTTGAACTCCCAACCTCAGGTGATCCGCCCGCCTTGGCCTCCCAAAGTGCTGGGATTACAGGCGTGAACCACCATGCCCAGCCTAGTTTTACTAGTCTTAATCTTCACACAAATAAAATAATAAAATCTGTAGTGTTTTCTGGCTTATTTTCCTTAATATGATTTTTTTGAAGTCACCTATTATGTATATCAATGGTTTATTATTTTATATTATGTGATACATAATATAAATGTATCACAATATGTATATTCATTCTCCCATTGAACAATTGGGCTGTTTCCAGTTTTTGGTTTTTGTGAATAAAGCTACTGTGAACATTCTTAGGCTAATCTTTTTTACAATTGTTTTTAACTCCAAGATCTATACATTGAGAAAGATATTGTCCTTTAGCTTCAGATTCATATACCTAGTTGTTTACCTGAATGGTTCCTAGGTTCCTCAAACTCAAAATATTCCAAACTGAACCCTTCCCTTAAACCTGGTCCTCCTCCAACATCTCCCTTCTCAGTAACAGCACCATTATATACCATTATGCATTTGGTTTTGCCAAGTTGACCAGGCTGGTCTCAAAGTTGACCTCAGGTGATCTGCCTGCCTCAGTCTCCCAAAGTGCTGGGTTTACAGGCATGAACCACCACTCTCGGCCTTCATTTGGAATTCTTATTTGATTTCTCAGTTAGTTGAAGATACTCAAGATTGATTGATCGATTGATTGATTGATTGATGGGGTTTCACTCCAGTTGCCTGGGCTGGAGTGTAGTGACATAATCTTGGCTCACTGTAGCCTTGACCTCCTGGCCCCAAGTGATCCTTCTGCCTCAGTGCTCTGAGTAGCTGGGATTACAGGCATGGGCCACCATGCCTGGCTAGTTTTTTTGGTTTTTGTTTTGTATTTTTAGTAGAGACAAGGTTTCACCATGTTGCCCAGGTTGGTCTTGAACTCGTGAGCTCAAGTGATCCTCCCACCTTGGCCTCTCAAAGTGCTGGGATTACAGATGTGAGCACACAGCCAAGATTAATTTCTTAAAATTTGTTTTTCTTAAAAATTTTTCTTTTCATTGTGGGGTCAGGGAGCAGGGCGCTTTCTGGTAAAGACCAGAAAACCTGCTAGATAAAATCTAAAAAGGCTGTAATGTAATTTATTTT